AAGAAAAAGGGGGAAGGAAGGAAAGAGATAGAGAAGGAAGGAAGGAGGAAAGAGGGGAAGGAAGGAAAGAGGGAGTGAAGGAAGGAGGAAAAGAAGGAGAGAAAGAGGGAAAGTTGGCCACAGCAACGCGTGGCGGGTACAGCTAGTGTACAAATATTTATGGCCTCCCTACTTCACGGATTTTCACTTATGGCGGGTGGTCCTGAAATGGAAATCTGTGTATACACAGGAAGGGAAGTGGGTACCCCACCTTTGGCTTAACAGTTGGCAGTGGGGCAAGTGCTGGCATGGGGGGCTTCTGCTGCCCTTTCATCCCCGCCATCTCCTTGAAACTTGGCATCTTTTGAAGGGTTTCCTTGAGCTGCCTGAACTCTTCCATCTGAACCTAGATCCGGAACAAAGAGAAAGCGCTTGTGGGCATTGGGAGGCCGGCAAGTGACCTACTCCTGTCCAAAAACATTCAGACATGTCCTCTGCTGACAGATACCAGCTAGGACACCGGCATGGACCATGGGTCGGGGATGGAGCTCCAGCAACATTAACCCTGGATAGACTGTGAAGCAAGGACTGGAAAAAGGAGATTCAGTTCCTGAGCCTTTTGTGTGTCCCGAAAAGAAACCCATTTCCAAAACTTACGTGAGCATTGAGAAGTTGTGAATGGATCTCCTGGTGAGCCTTCCGAAGCAGTTTGCTTTCTTCTCTCAGCTTGTAAACTGTATCTACAACACACACACACACACACACACACAATGGAACTTCAATGCATTGTCGAAGACTTTCATGGTCAAAATCACTGGGTTGTTGTGAGTTTTCCTATGTGCCAGAAGCATTCTCTCCTGACGTTTCGCCTGCATCTAGGGCAGGAATCCTCAGAGGAAACTTCCTCTTGACCCTAGAATTACCCTGCAAAGCCAAGACCTCACTCTCCTTCTCCCGCTGCAGCTGGGCATATTTTTGGTTGTGGGTCTCCACGATTTTGCGATGCTCCAGTTTCAGCACGTTGTGCTGCAGCTGCAAATCAATCAGTTGTTTCTTGACTTCGTCATGCTGGTTCTGATCGGGGGAAGCGAAAAATGAATCAGCTGGTTATCCCTGTAATAGGCAGTAAGAGCTCCTAAAGCTTCAGAGAACTCCTGTTCAGCCATTTCAAAGCTCCTGCTTGAGCGGTGATGGCATGATCGTCAGCATAGGTGAAACTCTCTGTCCCTTCTGGCAGTGGCTGGTCATAAATGTTAAACATGGATGGAGCAAGGGCGCTTCCCTAAAGCAGGCCGTTCTACTGTTTCCGCCATCTGCTTCTCTGGCCCTGGAACTCAACAAAAAAGCTCCTGTTTTGTAGCAGATTTCCTATAATGCGGGTGTAGTGGTAATCCTTTGTGTGGTGGTAATCCACCTTGTCTCCTGCATATGTCAGCAGTCTGGGCCAGAGTGAAGAGAGAGGGGACCACGGGACAGTTCCATCTTGTCTCTTGCATACGTCATCAGTTGGGGACCCCTCCCCCAGCACCAACTGCTGCTCTGGGCCAGAGTGAAGGGAGAGGGGGCCAG